ACATGGCGCTTGACGAAAGAGATGGGACAGCAGTCATAGTGCGATTTGCATTTCAACCCGAGGGCCGCCCCCTTCGCCAGCTGATCCGCTCTCTCGTTTCCGATCACCCCGACGTGGGCCCTGATCCAAAACAGGGACACGGCTTGTCCGTTGTCCCTGAGTTGGGCCAGGTTGCCCTGAATCGCCTTGGTGATCGGATGCGAGGAGTCTGGATCAGCTAGCGATTGGAGGGAGGACCTCGAATCGCTGAGCACGGCCGCCTCCTTCCATCCTTTCCCTAATACACACTCCGTGGCTTGGAGGATAGCATACAGCTCGGCTTGGAAGACTGTACAGTATGGCTCCAGCTTAAACTTTCGGGAAAGGACTTCTGCCTGCCTTTCCAACAGGTCAGGGCGGCTCCTACCTTTCCCTCCAGTTTGCTGCCATCTGTATAGATCTTCACAAGACCTTCTGCCAGTTTGCTATCCTCCTCCTCGTTTTCCAGACATTCGAAACCTATCATTCTGCTGCTACCGGGGTGGTCCGAATTCATGAAGGATACCCTTTTCTCCACCTTTCTCCCCCTTAATATTGCCTGGGGTTTCCCTCGCTTCGCCTCATAAAGCTGGGATGCTTCATGGACCCTTAGGTCCAGCGGAAGCAGCCCCGACAATATTAAGGCGGAGTTGAGCGACACCGTCCTATAACATTTGGTAATTTTTTGGGCGAACCCCCTCTGCACCACCGAGAATTTCTTTTTGGTCATTATTTTCTTAGCTTCTCCCTGCCAAACACTCGCTGCGTAGAGGATGATTGGTTCTATGACCGCTATATAAATTGTTCGTATAATCTCTGGTTGGAGACCCCAAGTCGTCTTTGCGGCTCTTTGGATACCTTTAAAAATATTGATAGCTTTGCCGCAGACGTACTTAATGTGCTCATTAAAGGTTAATTTGTTGTCGATTTTTAGGCCGAGGATTTTTATTTCGTTGACTAGTTCTATTTGTACCCCCCCCATGGTCAGTAGCGGCGCGTCAAATTTTTAATTTTTTGGTGATAACCATGGCTTTGGTCTTATGCGCCGCGAAGTTTAATTTGTTTGACGCGCCCCATCTCCTGACCAGGGAGAGTCCTGCATTGGCCTTTTCCTCTAGCGACTTTGGGTCTCCTCCATCCACTATCAAAATGATGTCGTCAGCGAATGCTTGGCAATATATATCGGCGTCGGTGAGCCCGTTCAGGAGTGGATCCAGCAAGATGTTCCAGAATAAGGGGCCTCCTATGGACCCCTGTACACAGCCTTTGTTGGTTATCTTGCTGTACTCCTCCCCCGCGTATCTCACCGACACCATCCTATCTTGGAGATAACTATCTACTAGTCTGCGTAAGTTTATAGGGCACTTTAAATTTTTAAGTTGGCAGCGGATTCGCGGCCACCACGCGTTATCAAAGGCCCCCTCTATGTCCAGCGATATCAGGGCCACTATTCTCTTTTTAACCAATTTATCTCTGATTCGCTGTATCATATCATAGAGGGAGTCCTCTGTACTGCGCTGCGGCACGAATCCATACTGCCTCGGGTTAAGTTTAGGCAGTATATGCCATTTTAAACGACGCACCAGCATCTTTTCTAAAATTTTTCCTAAGACTGGCAGCAACCCGATCGGTCTGTATGACTTGGGCTCCTGATAGTTGTCTTTGCCGGGATTCCTTAGCATGATTACTGCTGCTCTCTTCCATGCTTTCGGGAAGTGGGCCAGGGCTAGGCATTTGTTGAACATCGCGAGAGCTAGTTCACTGTCTGCTTTAACAGTCGCCGCGCATATATCGGCCGTGAAACCATCTCCACCCGGTGCCCTTTTCGGGTTAAACGAGTCCACGGCGTGCACCAGTTCAGCTTCCACAAATGGGGGGTCATGAACATCATGTTCGTCTCCCCCATTTGCTTCCGCCGCGCTGATCCGCACTGCCCTGTGGACTTCGCTTTCCCCTACTTCGGTGTCGTCCGGGTAGAAAGTCTCAGCCATTATGCGCACCGACTGTTTGGGGCTGGTGGTGATGCCCCCTCTCGCGATTGGCAGATCTTCGCCTTGTGTTCTGGTTCTGCCTATCACCCTGTATATGCCCTCCCACATTGTTTCCCGGTCTTGTTTTTGACAGAACTCCTTCCAACTCTTTACCCTGGCTGCATTCATCTCCCTTTCGTACTTTTCTTTTGCGTCCATGTATTGCTCGACTACCCATGTTTTGCGACTCGGTGCTGCCCATTTTATTCTTCTTTTTCGTTTGTTCTTCTCTTTCTTCATTCTCTCGAGCTCGTCGGACCACCACACAATCTTTATTCTACTATCTGTCTTTTTTCGTTTTATATATTTATCACAATTTGCTTCTATCAATTTTGTGTATTTATTTATTACTGATTCTAATTGGTCTATATTTGCTATTTTGTCTATTTCTGTTTTGTTTATGTGATTTTCTTTAAATAAGTCTTGGATTCCCTTTTTATAGTCTATCCAGTTTGTTTTTAACGTATTGTATTTCCTGGTAGTTTTATTGTTTACATGATTATTGTTTTTGTTGTTTCCTAATTTTATTTTAAAAGTGATTGTGTTGTGGTCCGACGTTGTTATGTCATCCTTCACCTTCCATTCCAGCACCTTGTCCAGCATGTCAGTCGAGCAGTACGTCACATCCACACAGCTCTTGTACTCTCTCCCTCCACGCCAGGTTTGGAAGGTCGGTCTGTCCCCTTCGTTTAAAATATGGAGTCCCAAGTCATTTATCATACCCATCATTTCTTCCCCTCTATCGTCACTTTTTGTGCTTCCCCACCACTCATTCCACGCATTGGCGTCCCCCCCTATTATTATTTGGTTTATTTTCATTTTTCTTATGGCGCTTTTTACTTGAGCCATATACGGGCCAATTTCTACGTCCGGCTCGAAATAATAGGAGATCACTCCGAGTTCCCATTCTTGTGTTGTTATCTTTATCGCTACAATATTTGTTGTTGTGAGGTCGGGAAATTGTTGGATTTTTATGTTCATGTTAAAGACGGCTATCGCCGCCTTGTTCACTTTCCCGACCTCTTGTGCAGCCTGGTAGAGTCTAACCCCGGTGTGACCTCCCACTATTCCCGCGTTTCCCGTATAAGGCTCCTGCATCAGCGCCAAGAGTGTTTTTGTTTTGGCCGCCTCCAAGATCAGCTCGCTCGTTGCGTTTCTGCTGCGTTGGAGGTTGGCCTGGAGGACGCCATATGTCTCCTTTTCCTTTCTTATCTCATCTATCACCACCTTAGCAGTACGCTATCCGAGATCTTGCTATTTTATCCCACATTTGGAATTGTGGGCATTCAGAGCTGAAGGTGTTATGTTCCCTGTCTTTAAGTCCAGCTTTTTGGCAGTTAAGGCATTCCGGGGCTTGATCTTTTTTGGGGCAAGCTACGTATATGTGGTCGCCCCCGCAGTGGCAGCAGCTGTCCGACTGCTCCTGACAGAACCGCTTGATGTGGCCGAAGCCCAAGCAGCGGGAGCAGCGGATAATCGGGGACTGATCTTCTACACGGGATAAACCCCACTGCAGTTGAATAGCCCCCGCCTCTATCAACTGCTGCCACACTACGGATGCCACCTTTAAAACCACATGGGCCACGTGTGGATTTCTTGTCTTCTTCTCGTAGATGGCCTCTATTTGTAATTCTTCTTTTTTATATTTTTGCCCCACTCTGATCATGTGCCTCCTGATCGCCTCCTCTACCTGTTCCTTTTTCTTTTCCCCCATGACGTATTTTACGATTACAAGCGGATTCTTATTTACTGCTGTTTCTATTTTTAGGCTTTTGTTCTTTTCCAATTTTTGTTTCAGCTTCTTCGCTTCCTCCTCTTTCGCGCATCCTATCACCACTTTTTGGCCCCTCGCTTTCTTCACTCTTCTTACCTCGTTCCACTCCCCGCCCCCGTCGACCGACTTCCTGACTTGTTCGAACACCTGTTCGCTCGTCAGCCTTGTGTCGGTCGACGCCACTATCAGGGAGTGCAGCGAGGTAGGAGCCTTCCTTGCTTTTTGCGCATACGTCTCCTTGCTTACTTCTCCAATCGCTTCTTTCACTATAGCTCTTATATTCGTTTCCATTTCCTTCTCTGTCTTTCCTTCTCTTTTGCTCTTTTTGCTCTCTTCACTTATTTTATCTATTCTTTTTTCGATGTTTTCTATTCTTTCATTTCCTTTCTTCAGTCCCTCTTTTCCCTCTATTATCAACTCTTTTATTCCTTTCTGTTCTTCCATAATTCTCTTACTGATTCCTATTACTTCCTCATTTATCTTCTTGTTGCTTTCTATTGTTTTCCCATCTTGTTTCGTTATTCCTTTGCTTTCTATCGTTTCCATTATTTTCTTACTTGCATCCATCATTTCTTCCATTCTTTTAGTTACATTCTCCATTCCTTTCATTCCTTCTCCTCTTTCTAGCGCACTCACTTTCTTTTCTAGTGCTTCTATTATCCTATCACTCTCCTCTTTTTGTTCCTTCATCTTCATCATCCATTTTTCTTCACTTTTCCTACTTTCTTCTATCTGTATGCTTAGCCTTTCTATCATTCCAGTCATTCTTTTTCCTTCTTCCATCCTCTTTTCTTCCCCTCTTTCGAGCATCTTTTTTATTGTGTCCATTATTTCTTCATTCTCTTCTTCATACTTAACATTAATGCCTTTATTTTCCAAAGTTTTTTGCAGCTTTTTATTTCTACTCACTATTTCTTTGACTATTCTTAATATCTCCTCCGCTTGTTCCTTAATTTTTGCTTTGTTGTCTCTAGTGACGGATGATGAATATATTACAGTGCACCAACAAAGTGCAGAAAAATTCTATCGCATTGGAGGATTCCCTCGAGTACTTGCTGCAATTGATTGCACTCATATAAGAATCCAGTCACCATGTGAGTATTTTATTATAACTGACAGAGTGAAATTGGGCTACTTCTATATAAGTAACAGATACAGATAACTATAATTTCTTCTAGGTCATGTTATTGGTGAAGAATTTAGGAATCGTAAAGGATACTTTTCCTTAAATGTCCAAGCTATCTGCGATGCCGATTCGAGGTTCATGAATGTGGTGGCTCGTTGGCCTGGGTCAACACATGGTGCCACAATATTTAACAACTCAGTTCTCAGAGGTACCTAACACTGTTTTAAATGGATTTGTTAGCTTTGAAAAGAATATTATACATATAATAATAGCTTTGGTTATATTTAGTGGCCATGTATTATGCACTCACTTATTCTTTTGTTTACAGCTCAATGTGATGCAGGTCAATTTGGTAATCGCTGGATGCTTGGTGACAGTGCTTACCCCAACAGACCATATTTATTAACACCACTTTTAAATCCAGCTACTGAAGCAGAACAACGTTATAATGAAGCTCACATTAAAACCAGGAATACAATAGAAAGGTAATGAAGTAATAAATAAATAGGGATTATTTATATCATTAGTAGTATTGAGCATTTTACAATGTATTTGTGTAAGTTAATACAATGAAGCATTTTATTGTAATAGATAAAAATGGTTTTACTTATTTTTGTTTTTTTTTCAGAACATTTGGTGTCTGGAAGCGTCGCTTTCCCGTTATAGCACTAACTCTTCATTTGTCACTGTTAAAAGTCCAAGCAATAATAATTGCTACTGCAGTGTTGCACAATATTTGTAGGACTAATAACTTAGAGGAAGTTCCTGCTGAAATGGAGCTACCAACAGCAGATATTATTGTGGATAATAATATGGAAGGACAAGATGTTAGAGAAAGAGCAGCTCTTATAAATTATTATTTTAGATAAGTCAAATAAAAATCACTTTAACCAACTGAATTCTGTTTGTTTTAATAAATACCCCAGGTAGGCAATTTTGTTATGTAATGCGAAATAGGAAGAACAAGTTACTAATATATTATGTATACCTAACCATTATTTCTATAACATCTCATAGATCAGTCATGTTACCTTCAAAATTCATTTCTATAGGACAAAATAAATGAAAAAAGATGTTGGATCATATATTTATTTTACAACAAGACACAGGGCACAAAATCACAAAAAAGGCTTTAAACTAAAATTTACTAAATAAATTACAAGCTCTCCTTCAACTTCTGCAATTCTAATTTAAGTTTTTCGGTTTCTGCGAAACGAAAGCTTCTCATTATTTAATGAGAGTTGTAATTTTTTTAATTTTGAGTTTTCATTTTCCAGATGGATATTATTCATTTTTGCATCAAGACATAGTTTTTTGCTTGAATAATATTCAGCTATTGCGTTGTTTCTTGCCATCCTGCTTTCATCTGGTTTAAATTTCTTCTTCACTGAAAAACAGAGCAAATGTGAGATTGATAGGAATGCACTCACTGTGTAAAACATTTAACTTGCACGCACAGAATAGTCTATCCACTATGTTACAAAAAATGTTATCCTAAGATATAATTTTATTCTTATTTAAATGTGAAGGTCACTGCTGGTATCTGCCACCCAGACCTACTAAAGATCCTGTTATTAGTTTATATAAAAAATTGTAACAAGCGGCATGCACACTACAGCTAATAAATAAATATAGGTCATCCATAATCAGTATAGTAACCATTACCTGCCCTAGGTGTACTAAATGTGAACCTCTTGGTGTTAATTGGAGTCATCACATTTTGGTCAACAACATCCAATACTTTGTAGTTGGAGACCACATTCTCAATACCATTGTCAATCTCAATGTCATTATCAGTAGACATTGGTATTGAGATGATTGGGTTTTCATTGATCTCGAGTAAGACCCTCGCATCCCCAATGCCATCACCACTACTTCCACCTTCACCATCACCAACAACAGCAAAACCCGTGGTTTCTTTGTCACCCCCAAATGGCACAGTAAATCCACCAACTGTACTTCCAAGTAAACTGGCTACTCTGTCCAATATATCATCTGGGGGTATGGATTTTGGAGGACCACCACCCGTCTGTTAAAAGAATATTGGATTTAAAGGTAATAAACAATGAGACTTTGCAAAAAAGTAGGTTATGAATAAAAAGTAAATAATAAATTACAAGAAGTGACCTTATTTTGGTGCTGCGTTTGCGTGCATTTTTCTTTAAATTTTCCCATTTCAAGCGCAGCTGCTGCCATGTGCGAGGACTACTCGTAGCTGTGGCGTTAAATCGCTCCGTTAGACGAATCCACTCTTCTGTTTTTAATTTGTTATTACTTGCGTTAGTGGTTTTACTATTAATAATTTTACTCCCTTCTATGAGCTCCACCAAAAACTTTGTCTCCTCTTTGGTAAGAGGCTTACCTTTCACCTATAGAAAAAGAATTCAAATGGTTACAAATGACATGAATAATTTAGGCGGGAATGTTAAGCATCCTGCGTCATCTCTAGGCCAAGCGCAACCTTACAAGTTCCATGGAATTGGTACATTATGTACTTACAATTTCTGAATCCATTAATAGAAATTATGCTGTTGAAATGATCACACAACACAGATCTGTTTTATTTAGTAAACGGTCAAGAAAATGGTGTTTGTAAACAAGTTTTACTTCACGATACGAACACGGAACTCTTTCAGCTTCCTTCAATGAATTTGTTTTAGCTACAAATGTCAAAATTGACAAATCAAAGCCAACAATGGAATGAAATTTCCATCAAATTGAACGTTCCATTTCAGCTAAAATATTTTGTATTAAAATATTTCGAATGTTAAATTACAATTTCTGTAAGTTTTTAAGAAAATAACAATTCTTTTTCACTATAAATATTAATTTCTACTACTTGTTAATTGATTTTTATGAATTATTTGTTTTTAATACACAATACACAATTTATAACACGCAAAGTAATTATGTTGTTCAATTAAACATTTTACCTAAAACGGAATGTTAGAGAGGGAAAAGATAGCCAGTAATCTGCCACCAAAAAAGGATTGGGATAGCAGAGTTGAATTATTGGCACGCGGATAGGAGATCGATCTGATGTTAAGCAGCAATCTAAGAATGATTTCAATCCTGGATAGAAGATACATTATTAAGTTTGGGCGTTATGGGAAAAAGTCTTTATAAAGTTACTACACCTTTCATCATAACGTTCACCATTCAATTGACACTGAAACCACAAAGTATAGTTTTCGTCGCTTTGTCCTTCGAAATTAATTATTTGATAGTCCTTTACTATCGAACTGAGTAAAGTTTTAACACAGTTTTCGTCCATTTTACCACTATTTAATCTCAAACACAAAAATAACGTTCGATAATACAATTGAGCTTATGTTATTGCACTGTTCACTTTAATAAGTAAACTAAACATGCAACATGTGCAATGATGATCGGCGCGCGTAGAGCGAGATAGACAATGTGGGATTACATACTGTGTGTGTGTGATAGCTATATCGGCATAGAGAGACGTATCGTGTATGCATGCAACATGTGCAATGATGATCGGCGCGCATAGAGCGAGATAGACAATGTGGGATTACATACTGTGTGTGTGTGATAGCTATATCGGCATAGAGAGACGTATCGTGTTAGCTTTTCTAAGAATATTTTGTTGATTCAGCTACTAGAAATCCTACCCCAATACGTCACGCAAGCTTGACGAATAAGATGAGGATTCCCAATACATTTTAATGCGTATTAACTTAGAAATCCTACTGCAGTACATCGCCGTCTGAGACGTATTGGAGCAGGAATTACGCGTGTTTATCGTTTGGAAAGGCTAACTCAGTTCGGCTCAGCCGACGGGGACGTACTGAACTAGCATATCTATATACGCCACCCGGACCGGATGATATACTCTATCTTTTTATTGTTTATATATTAAGGCTTTTTTAATTAAATGATTTTGTTACAAATATTCAATAATTTATGACAAAATTTAATTCGGGGAAATAGGGGTAGATGGATGGAAACCAGATGAAGATCCATTAACATCAGTGTCATATAGACCCATTTCGTTAAACTTGTATCAAAAAACTATTTGTACACACGATCAAAAATAGATTAGAAATGTATATAGTAGTATATATAAGTATTACACCGTTTGTACAGTACGGTTTTAGGTGTATAAAGACAACAGTTAACCTGAGCAAACAGCGCCATCTAGCGGTTCACGACATAGCGATTCGTGACCAAAAGTTACTTACTTATGAATACATTAGTAGATAATTTATCTACTATTCGTTTACCTACACAGATTTTTCTGATAATTGACTAAAAATGTAGGTTTAACATAGTCGGATACAATAAATAAAAAACAGTTTTAGAAATGCCATTCTTTTAAATTTGTACAATTACGCACCTTTATGGTGTCGTTTAATAATTTATTTACGTCACCAAACCAGTTATATATAAAAAATCGAGAAGTAAAATCTATCATGAAATCAATTTAATTTTTGTTTTCTTCACATTTAAAAAAAATATCCGTTATAATATAAATTAAAGTTTAACAATAGATTTTAATTTCTTTGATTTCACTTTTGTTGGCTAAAATATAATTAATTATATCTTGATCAGTGCCTCTGAAAGGTATGTTAGCTTTTTATCTTTTTTATGTTTTTTTAAGTTTATATATTCAGTAGATTTTCCATTATCATAGAAACATAGCTTACACTTTTAGCATCCCACAAAAAGTTTTATTAAGCGTGCTCAATATGTAACCAGTTGCATGACTAATAGTCCAGTCGGAATAAACATGAGACCTATTCTAAGACACCAGCGCTTAGCCAATTTTTTCCTAGATAGTATAGACCCCCACGAATATGCCCTCCATTTGTCCCCGCTAGAACCCGTGTTTTGTAGCCAGGAAAATTGTTTAAACAAAAAAAAAAACGGTTTTTTTGAGTTTTTTTGCTTGTAAACGGGGATTTTGAAATTTTTTTTGAATCAAAGTTGTTTATTAGCTTGCCCTCTACAAAATCAGTTCTATGAAAAAATAACGTGAGATTGTTAGTTTAGCAGTAAATTGCAATTATGTCGGTTTTACGTTTGCAACAATTCAACATGTTATTATAAACATTTTGATTTCTAAAGTAGTTTATCATGTGGGTAACGCCACTCCCAAGAGAGTCATGTAAAATTTATCGACCTGTGTCGCAAACTTTAGCAACAATTCTCAATCTCCGAAAAAAAAGTACTTGCCTGTCCCGTCTTTCCCAGAAGGCGCACAGCGGGGAAATAAATTCAGGTGATTCGATTCACCAAGAATTTTGAGGAATCGATCGAGTAGAAAAAAATCGTTAATAAAAATGTTCGTTTTTGGACGATTTAAATTTTTTTTAAAAATTGACGTAGAATATTTTTTTTTAAACTAATGTATTTACTCGAATATACGATTGAAAATTTAAAAAATTCAGTTTATTTATGTACAGAAATTATTTACAAAACTATTAACTAAAATTCGATTACAAGACTGCGTTGTATTCTATATTTCTAATTAAATTAATTTCGTCCTTTTTTCTTCCGGTTCATAATCGGAATTCTCAGGGTATATTAGTATTATATATATATTATACATATATATATTCAGAATAGTATATTCGAGTTGAGGAGAGAAAAATACATTATTTTAAAAAAAAAATATTCTACGTCAATTTTTAAAAAAATTTAAATCGTCCAAAAACGAACATTTTTACTAACGATTTTTTTCTACTCGATCGATTCCTCAAAATTCTTGGTGAATCGAATCACCTGAATTTTTTTTCCCCGCTGTGTGCCTTCTGGGAAAGACGGGACAGGCAAGTACTTTTTTTTCGGAGTTTGAGAATTGTTGCTAAAGTTTGCGACACAGGTCGATAAATTTTACATGACTCTCTTGGGAGTGGCGTTACCCACATGATAAACTACTTTAGAAATCAAAATGTTTATTATAACATGTTGAATTGTTGCAAACGTAAAACCGACATAATTGCAATTTACTGCTAAACTAACAATCTCACGTTATTTTTTCATAGAACTGATTTTGTAGAGGGCAAGCTAATGAACAACTTTGATTAAAAAAAAATTTCAAAATCCCCGTTTACAAGCAAAAAAACTCAAAAAATCCGGTTTTTCTTTGTTTAAACAATTTTCCTGGCTACAAAACACGGGTTCTAGCGGGGACAAATGGAGGGCATATTCGTGGGGGTCTATACTACCTAGGAAAAAATTGGCTAAGCGCTGGTGTCTTAGAATAGAAGTCGGCCCAAATTATGGCTATTCCGACTGGACTATAATTTGTGCATTAATTTTAGGATGTCTTTTTTTTGTTAAAAAATCTACTAAACGACAATTTAAATCGTTAAAATCTATTTCAATACTTTCCTCTGAGATATTTTTTTCTTTTCCTAATAATGTATTCATGCTCTGAAAAGTGCAACGGGCTTCTTCACAATTTGAGGAAATGGAGTGATTACTTAAATTGCTTACTAATAGTAAAATAAATGCTGCTTCAAAGTCAGTGGATGTTGGGGACGTATTTCTATACCCATGGCTTCGAATGCATCCAAATAAATTGTCAAGGGAGTCCTGGTTGAAATGCCTCATCCACAGGGATTAAAATTATATTCATTAAACATTTTGTTACGAATTAATTGTAATGCTTTCTAATGTCTATACAATACTTGCTTTAAATTTTTGTAAGGCGGCATATTTTTTATCAAATTATAGCCAGCATCATTAAATTCCTCAACAACTTCGGAGTAAATTGTTGGAATAGGTGTTGTCTCATTTTGAGCTTTTTGAATGCATTTATGGATTCTACTCTTAACTTCAACATCAATCACATTTGGTTTACATTTATGAGTTTCTAGCCTTATTACAATATTATTACCGATGACTACATTAGTATTGCAAATTTTCCTCTTTGAGCAGCGCCAAACTATGTGCCCATTAACCATCTTTTAAAAGAACTTCACCGCCTCTTTGAGATGATATAATAGTATCTGTCGAATATTTGTCCGTCATGTCTGAAAATGAAAGACAAATTTGCTAAACCGAAGATTTTGATTACGGAAGCAAAAACTTTCATTTTAAGTTACTCACCTTTATGTTTATAACTGACCAACCAAATTTTTGTTTTTTTTACTAGCGCACTTTGTAGTGTTTGTTTTTAAACAGGGCGTGACACTGACTCTTAAATAATTGACACACGTAGGACAGCTGTTTTGTCTATGATAGCGAACCGCTGACGTCGGCGTAGCTGTCAAACTTCATTGATTGGGTTGGTAGCATTGAGGGAATAGTTGCTTTCTTTTATTCGATTTGAGACTTAAGTCTTAAAAAGTAAAGACTTAAAAAGTAATAAGGCAGTGAATCTC